TGCAGTTAGTTGTTATCCTGGGATCTTTATTAAGTAAATAATAGCTACAAGTTCAATTGGTAATAAAACTGAATTCTATATAGTCGTTCATTTTAAGTAACGCGGGATCTATAAAACACATTTTCATACATTCTTATTAAAATAATTGGTCTTGCAACAATAACTACAATAAAATAACTAGACATAAATTACAATATTGATTCTCTATACGCAAGAGCGAAGCAGGACGAAAAGATAAATACATATGAACTGTGAACCGCATAAATGCATAGTTGCCAAAAACTTCCATTCCGCTCCTGTATATTTTCATATAGCAAAATCACTTCCTATGTTTACAAGTTAAAATACAGAACATGTTCATTGAGCAATAATAGGCGCTCGGAGAGAGTAAAAGGAAAATTAGAATCGACGGAACATTTTGGCATTATCGGAACGTATGCGGATATACGGATTCTGGTTTTTTAAATTATCGGACTGATATATAATAGTTTAAAACATACACATAAGTATATCTAAGATTATTTAGCTGTATTGGGATATAAATTATGTATACTAAGCAAAAAGTTGAAGTTTTCTTCTATTCTTCATTAAATTTAAACAGTGACTCTTAAACGTGGAAAACGAAAGCAAAGTAGAAAAATCGTTGTTCTGGGTCATTGTAACACTTCCTTCATGTTGTTCTAATTGTTACAGTCAGCGGTGCGGTGTAATAAACCGCTAAATTTCGCTGACGCAAAAACGACAGGGTGTTATAAGTTTAACGTGTCTGTGTGCGTGTGTGTTTGTCTGTAGCATCGTAGCTCCCGAACGGATGAACGGATTTTGGTTTTTTTGTATGAAAGGTGAATTTGTCAAGAGTGTTCTTAGCTGTGTTTGATGAAAATCGGTCCCAGATAGTCGCCGCTACAAAATGGCGGATTACATATTTTTTCACAACTCCCTCAGTATGAGTATAAAATGAAAGGGATTGTCTAGTAGAATACTATACACTATGACAAATTTCAAATCCAAGAAATGTGTGTGGGGTTTTATAAATTTTTCATTTAACTCTTAATATGTATCAATTAACAATGTTAACAACAGCGGTACTGTTATTGTGATGTTTTATGATTACCTAATCATAAAATTGTTTATGTCCAATTGAAACTAAAGTTTGCTTCATTCTTGGAAACAAGCAAAATGAAAAACTCACCGACCAAGAAGTGAGAAGTGGATAAATATTATACAAGCAAAAAATACAACACTTAAAGTCATACTCAAGTAACAAATTCTATACATATAAATTACTTGCCCTGACTGACTGACTGATTCATCAACGCAGAGCCTAAACCGCGGGGGCATTTTTTGTCTTGTTGACTTAGTGTAAAATCCCTTCGGATCTCAGGCTCCTCGGGGAGCCAGAAGTATGTGGTGTTTCTATTAAAAACCACCACGGCGACCGGTCTCAGGCGCTCTACTCTGAGATGTACCCGGACCATGTTATTTCAGGTACCGGCTCCCTTTCCGGATGGTATGGCCGCGGGCTTCCGCCCCCCTATCGGCCTAATAATGATAGTGATAAATATGTGGCATGTGATCGCATTTTTGCCACCGGGCCGCCCTATAGCTTACCGTAGCAGTTAATCTGCTACCAGAGGTCCCCACTCTCAGGCAGCCTGCGGCCCCGTCGACAGCTAGTATTGGCTATGTTACAAGAACACAGAAAGAAATCCCAGCCCTCCTCACCCGCCAGCATGGCAGTAATAATTGCTGGCGTGGACAGGTTGGTCCGATTCGAGCGAATAACAACACAATACATTCTTGAAATGCAATCTAAAAATTATTTACCGCAACTTTTACGGTGTTTTTTGGTCAGGAAGGAAATCGTGAGCAGCATTGGACTGATTTAACGGGTAATTGATTTTTATAGATTAAAAAACAAATAGCATGAAATAATCAAATCAACGAGTTGTTTCCGTGAAATACTTTTTTATTTAATTATATTTTATTTGGCCACATTTTAAAGCAACGAAACATTTTTTAGTGCAGCAGCAATAAGAATATAATTTTTTATGAACCCAAAGCAATAACAATACCCTGTAATTTGTATGAATACAAACTGATAATTATGACACAATGATTAATAATTCTGTTATTGTTTTATTACTTGTCTTGCAATCAACATGTGTAGATCAGTAACACCTTTCCAAATAAGATTAAGTACATTAAAATCTATTTAATTAATACAACTTTGCAATTTATTCTGTAGTCAGTATTAAAGTTTAGGTCCTCAATTACCTACATATAATAGATCGTTTTTATTGCAAATACGTGATCAATCTCATTAAATCGTTGAAAACTTGGAGATCTTTTTTACGTGTCTTCACGCAAAAATATTAGGTACGAAAATATAACTAATGATTTTAATAATGATTTTTAAGTGAAAATTTGACCAAAATTTTTAGTAGAATAAAAACGTAAAATTCAATACTTTAAGAAATAAAGTTTTAGTCGTATAATTTCACTTAAAACTTATACCATACTTTACTGCTCAAATTTTATTAGATCTCAATACATCGGCTTAAATTATATGTTCTATAACATTTTTCTTAAAAAAAATATCGGGTGCTACCCCCTGTAGGTTATCATAGCACTATCATCATTGCTATCAGTATTTAATGCTTTATCATTGCTTCTTATGTACTGCAACTCAAGATGATGAGTAAGAGTAGTAAATTATCATTGACATATTTAGAAAATTTAATCTAAATCATCCAATGACATCTATATCAGTAACACAGTATCAAAAGAAACGATAACTTATTTACGTAGTTTAATCTAGTCAAAACTTGTTTTTCATTTTTTTTTTTTTTTTTTTTTTTTTTTTTTTTTTTTTTTTTTTTTTTAAAAAGACAACTCCCGCACTAGGAATAAATCCTGTGTCGCGGGGGACTTTACAAACATACATGAAACGGACACAAAGTACACCCAGACTCAGAACAACAATTTGTGGATCACACAAAGTGTTGTTCCATGTGGGGTTTGAACCCACAACACTCGGCGTAATAGGAAGCGGCGTGGCGACCGCTTAAACCACTACGCCATCCGTGCAGTCACTACGCCATCCGTGCAGTCAGTTGTTAACTTGTCCTAGTGGGAACTGTCACTCATCTGCTAATCTTGAATGATTAAGCCGGAGGTCATGAGTTTGATTCTCACCCGGTATAAATATTGTGTGATAAGCACGTTCATTTGTTCTATGTTTATGTGTAATTTATTTATAATTGTGTATGTATTTAGAAATATATAAGTACCTATGTTTATCAGCCGGCTGATTACCATAAAACAGGCTCTGTCTAGTCTAGGACAAACTGCTGTGTGTGACATGACGTAACCGAACTAAACGAAAGCTTTTGAACCATACATGAGTAGAGTCTTCAATCGTGAATAATCCGAAAATCTTTTGGCTATAATTATCTCAAAGGCAGCAGAGGTAATAGCTGTTGTCACCGGCGAGGGTGTCACTGAGTTGTTTGTCTCTTACTTTCAATCCACCTTTCAGATACGTGGAATTACGAATTGTCAAGGATAGGATGTTAGTGTAGGCACCGATGAAACTAGTTCTGTAAATCCTGTATTTTGTAACGTTATATATATGTATAAACATCTACAATACATATCTACTGTACATTTATCCACTATTAGTATAGTATTGATTAGTTGTTCTGGGACTCTAATATCTTGTAACTTAATAAGGTTCCTTATCAAACATGTACAGTACCATTATGATATGGAGCTCTAAAGGATGAATCTATAATATCGGGCCAAAGTATCCTGCAAAATAAGAGAGAACTATAATTGTAAAATGGATAAATTAAAACGATAAAGGTTGCATACAATGCACACTTGCATTGAAAATTGAGTTAGTTCTAAGGCGATTACGGTGATGGTAGCAATAAAAGTGTCGTATACCTGCCATAACAATAAAAGTGGTTTTCTTCTGCGGCTACAACACATTGCACTAGACACGAGTACTTGTATACTTAGTTACGTATAAGATACATTTATAAATACATTTTGCCTAGCTCTACCCGCGTGTATATCTATTGTCGTAGTAAAAAGTAGCTTACGTTACTCTGATAATGTAGCTTTCCATTGGTGAAAGATTTTTTTAATTCGGTTTAGCGGTTAAAGCGTGCCAGAAACAAACTTACTTTCACATCTATACAAATAAATAAAATTGGAGTGTCTGTTTGTAATATTAAAATAACCGCTTTTTACTAAATGCATATGTATCTTTATACACACATATGTACATATGCCAAAATAACATTTTTTACCATTTTTGTCTGTCTGCCTGTCTGTTTGTTCCGGGTAATCTCTGGAAAAGCTGGACCGATTTCGACGGGACTTTCACTGGCAGATAGCTGATGACATAAGGAGTAACTTAAGCTACTTTTTTTAGACTAGCTTCGCCCCGCGGCGTTGCCCGCGGTTATAACAATAAACGCGGGTAACACCGCGGGTCTCAGCTAGTTATAATTTAAGTATGGAAGTATGAATTTTTCTTTTTTATTTATATAATTAGTTTTATTAAGATGTTAAATTTTACCCTTTAGTTTTTGTGAATAAGGAACTTTTACATCTTTCCAAAATTAAGTCTTGAGATCATTAATGTTTACATTTGGGATCATATTTCTTATTCAATAGATTTTTCCCCAACCAAGGTAAGTCCTTTGACTGGTCATTTCAGATTATCACTCAGACCATATATTTTTACTTGCTTAATCACTTTCACAAAAGGGCTGTGTCAATGGCATCATAGCTCCCAAACGTTTACCAATTCCATGGGTTTTGCCTATGTTAGACCATTTTCAGACACCATCACACTGAGTTGAAAAATTTTAAATAAAAAACAAGCATACTAATTTTTAGTCTCTTATATTACAATTATACTTAAAATATATATAAATAAGCCTCAATTTATGTACAAAATAATATAGGTATTAATAATTAGTTGATCAGTTCTTTTCTGTTTTAATGTTGTCATTTTTTTGTTCTTCAGGGTCGTCAATTCTTGTTGGGAGGGGTCCATGTTTCCAGCTTGTGGGATATCCGTGCAGTTTGACATCATCCCACCATTGTTGCTCTGCTTGTGAGAATACTATATAGATGACGTTTGTGACAACTAACACGCCGAGGCATACCCAAAACGCTATACGCCATTCCTCTAAGGTCGACTGAAAGGAAAAACGTTAAAATAGTCAAAAGTTTATCAAAATGTTTTTCGATAGAGTAACTACTATTTTGACTAATATATTTTTTCAATACAAAAAAACAATTCTTTCTTAAAATATAATTCGATGATTGGGTTCAAATAAATATATGTAGCAAAGGCCATATTATTACGGTATATTGTAGGTTTTGATAAAATATTAGGTTTACTAAAAAAAAGGGATTGCGAGCATGATGCCAGGTAGAGCTCGATAGTTTAAAAAACAACACTGTGAAGATATTGAAACCTAGTTGTGATATAAAAGAAAACGTTTATTTTTTCGAATATAGCGGCTTTTGTTCGAATTTCTTAGGAGTTACTTAAAGAATCATAAGAGTATTGAATATAACTTACATTTGGTGTCAAAAGACCAATCAAATAAGGCGATATGATTGCAGAAATAGCAGCTGTTCCGTTAACCAAGGCTGTAATAGTACCGCAGTAGTTTGGACTGATATCCAATGGATTAATCTTCATGCCGCTGTAATATGCACCCATAAGGGTCATAGCAACAATAAACCATACAACGGCAATTGTTGTGTCACAACCGGAGTAAGAGGCTAGAATTATGCAGATTCCTGGGCCGGTAGCAGCTGAAATCAAAATAATCTTGTGAAAGAGATGCCAATTTTATTTTCTGGCTATAACTTTATGTTCATTTTACTTCATCGATGCTAATTCTCAACTTAACCTACCAATAGTAGTGTAAATTTTCCTAGCACTGCTTATACTGTGATATCCTCTCTTAATGCAGAAATCGCACAGCATCCCGAAGATGAAAGAAGCAACCCACATAGCCACGTACGGCAGAGACGACAGATAACCAGTGGATTTGATATTGAATTTCAAAACATCTGTCATGTATTTGGGCAAATCCGTCACCATTGTGAAATAGCCCCAGTCGTGTCCAATCTGTTGACATAAAAAACATATTTAAATTAAACAACGTGTTCAACACGGTCACGATGAAAATAAAATAAATAATAACTTCTCATTTCTTTTTAATACTTATGAAGTAAATATAATTAATGAAGTGAAATCGAAATATATGACAAGTGTGTAGTGAATATTTTAATGCATCCAAAACATAATGGTTAATTACTTTTTTGAATGCCTTAGGCGTGAATCCTCTATAGGAGTGGATTTATATATGCATGAGTACATATGTACGTCGATAGGAAGAGAAGATAATATTCTCTTATAGTTTATATAATTGAAGCATCACTTACAGCAGCAATAATTAATGCCCATAGAGGTATTGATCGGCCCAGAGCCTTCCATGGAGTGGGGTCAAGCCTCTTCCTTGCGTGCATTAAAGCATCTACGTTCTGGTTTAGGAACTTCCTTTCGCTGTCTGATATAAAGGGATGTTGGTTCGGGTCACTGTAGCACAGGATTGACTAAAACGTTACAAATAACAGTTAGTTGTAGAATACAAAATAGCATTACTATTATTAATGCTTGTGCTGTTACTAGTCACGGTCAATTTACAACTGTTCGTGCAGTCATGTCTGATTCATCGTAAACAGTAAGTGTCATGGTAACTTTTTCACTACCGCTAACTGTAAGATTAATAAAAGTTTTACTGTATTGGGCAATTGTTACATTAACCCTTCCTTCCTGCTAACCTTGAGGCACAGGATGCAGCTTTATGTTAATATAATAATAATAATAAACGTAAAAAACTTAGTTTAAAAACAGAAACATTAATCAAATGGCACCTCTTCAGTATCTTAAATGCATCTGATTTGTTTGTAAAGCCATTCGGAATGAATTTTATGATATATAAAAATAAAATATCAATTAGGGATTTGAGTAGGCAAGAGTGGTTGAGAACGCACCCACAACACGTTATGGCTGCAAATGATGACACACATTAGTGTCAATATTTAAATAAGCTTTTGAGTACCCTAACCTGTAATACTAGAATTCAATACAATATGTCATAGTATTGATAAGATTAGATAAATTTGGACTCAAGGAAAAAATAATGTTGACTTGTAATTCAATTTACTGTTTTCCGTGTCTTTTGATCAGCCATCGACGTTTTTGCATATGTATATTTAATTTTTCTCCTAAAAAATATGTATTTACCCCATAACAAACGCGTGTGGTTACAATCATGAATTATTACGAAATAGCCATGACAATGTTTTAACTAAACTGCAACTAAAATAAACTTCTTTTACATATTCGTTGATTCTTGAATGATCCTTGATTTTTGTTAGAGAATAAAAGTGATCTAAAGACATAGAATAACATAATTACATTTACGCCTGTTCATTGATAGTCGTCATTTCTTTACTTTACTTTAGTTTTTTTTTTCAATTTCATAAGAAATCCTAAGTTCAGCCCCCTCTATTTAAAATTATAAAGTCAAGAGTCAAACAAATACCTATCTTAAGATGTCTTATGCTTTATTTTGATGCTTAAATGTAAATTAATAACTTATTTAGAATTTATCACTTCTCTATGACGAGAATTTGTTCCGAGAAATCGAGTTTCCTCATCATTAAGTTCAGTTGTTTGGATTGTTTCTAATGCATCTTATATTTAATTGAATGTGATTTATAGTCAACTTTGATTACTTAGCCACAAATAAGATACAAATCAACCATCAATAATTTTTACTTTCTTTAGAATGTAGCTGCGAAAGCAAATACGAACCCTTAAACAATCTGTTTATTATAGATTTATTTTCAAATTAATTTACACAATAAAATCCCATGATTTTACATGAAATTACATCGAACCGTTATTTAATTTTTACGTGAAGGTAAAAAAAGCGGAAAACATACTCGTACACAAGTGAAACTAAATAGAATAACTAGACAACAATTAGGTTATCAAAATGCGCATCAACTGAACGCGTCATCAGGAACCAAATTAGACAATATTGCTCTAAAGTGATTGTTTATAGTATTCGCGCATGTCATGCTATTAATATAAGCAATTGTCTATCTATTTATACAATTGATGTATGAGAGGCACTATTTTGGGTCTACTTTGCGTGTTGAATGTTTTCTAATAAATATATTATAACTCATGTCTCCGTGCCTGGGAGAGCACGTTAAGCTGTACGTCCCGTTGCTATACGAACAATCGTTACGGGGAGTTGGAGCCCTAAAAGTCCGAAAGCGGTCTATCTACAGAATTTCGATATCGTCAAGTACTTAAGCTGTGGAGTTCTGATGGCAGAAACATCGAAGTTCATTCTCAATGTGGTAAACTTTAAATCCGACTTCAACTTAGTTTGGAAAAGGTTTGAAGGATGATGATATTTTAACTTATAACTTGAATTGAAATATCATAAGGTTATACCGGAAACTTTGAGTTCTTATCTAAATCTACGTTAAATATATAATAAGATTATTCAGATAAGGTTTTCAGAAGTAACTGGTACAGCTAGTGTCAAATTTGTATTGAACATTTATTGTAATAGATTACTCACCCATAAAGCAAACCAGATAAGGCCAAGTCCTCCAAACATATAAAATACATTGTCCCAAGTGCCGTTGTGCATGATAATACCGGAGAAAAATGAGCCAGCGATGTTACCTATTTGGGCTCCACCAAATACGATTGCTCCAAAGCGTGCCCGTTCGGCTTTCGGTGCCCATCTTGATAACATCGCCATGAGAGCAGGCATTGTTGGGCCCTGGAAAATAAGAAGACAATAAACATGTAAACAAAACACCAGCATCCCTTGCTGCGTAATTGACTAAATACTACTTCTTTCTCTATGTTTAATTCTACTATGCCATCAGGTTCATCCAATACCGACCACTCGTGAGTACCATAATACATACCACAATACTAAGCACATACACAAAGTATAAAATGTTGGGTAAGAAAAACAATCTCATTAATAAAAAATAAAATTTGAAATAATTTCAAAGATTTTTTTTTTGCCGATCAAATTACTTATATTATTTTTTCATTGTCTTACTAAAATAGCTAATGATAATTTTAGTAGTTCAAAATAATTGTTATCAGTATAAATTAGTTAAATATAAAATATATTTAAAATACACTTACTTCACCTAAGCCTTCAATTACTCTTAAAATAAACAAAGCATAAGCCCCTCCTGCTTTCACTACAACAGGTGTAATGAATGTGCACAGAGCCGTAGATAGCAATCCACAGCCAAGCACCCATTTACCACCAAAACGTTCAGCCAACATGCCTCCAGGAACGTGAGTTAAGACATAGCCATAGTAGAAGGACCCAAGAATCAGGCCCTGTGTTGCTTCGCTCCATTCGAATAGCACAGTCTGGAAAAGAAAAAAAACTAAGTACCACTGATGTAAAACTTTTTTAAAGTTATGTTGTTTAAAAAAAACAAAAACAAGGTAGTTGAACAAGATTAAGGTCGTTATATGGCTGACATTAGAAAAATTAATACGAAATTCTTCATTGTACACTATTTTATTACTACAAATACCTAGTCATAATATAATTCATGTGTAGGTACTTGTAGTAATAAAGTAGTGTCTCTGATTTCTTGTGTATACACAGGAAATCAGAGGGAGTAGTACTATAGGAGCTGTTATCGCTTAAAGCAACGTCTTACATACAACCTTTACATAGGAACATCAGAGAAAAATCAAGGATAGTTGTAATGGTGCTGTACTGAAGGTATATAAAGTAGACGCGATGGTGATTCATAAGCACACACTTAACCTGATGGTAAGCATTAAACGAGGACCATAAACTTTTGTTTTGCTATCCCTTTTCTTTTGCCATAGATGCCTTAGAATATTTTTTAGTTCATAAATAACACAAAATAAGACAAAGTCAGTATATGTAAAATCCATACAAATAAATGAAATTGAAGTGTATTTTTTGTAATGTCAAAAATAACAGATGTTTTCATGCTCACACGGTTATTTGCATGATTAATATGCCTGAAAACCATTTAATTTTTTAATGTCTGTCTGTCTGTGTATCTGTTTGTTCCGGGTAATCTTCTAAACGACTTAAACGGCTTATATAAGGAGTAACTTAGGCTATTTTTCCTCTAAGAAAAACCCTATAAAATTTTGACCGGTCCGGCAATCGAACCCACTAAGGCAACGCTTTTCAAATTCGCAAGTACCAGCTAGTATCAAACAAGTCCGAACTTTTACTGCTTTACCTGACTTAATCCTGATTGGTGTGGAAATAATACTCGTAATTGAATATTTAAAAAATGCCCAAAAGGCTGTCTTTACATCTTTCCAAATTTTTTTTTTTGTGATAGAAATTCAATTTTTGATCTATAAACTAATATGTATGTTATATTTACGTAAACTACCTACCTAAGCAATGGGTTTTTTATCAGTAGTGAAGTTAAAAGACACAATATAGCACCGTCTGGTCGTTTGCCCTTCTTCCATAAAAAAAAAACTATAGTGTTTGTGATCATTTTAATACATAATTAATCTATGTTATGTATGTTGATTATGGATTCTATTTGATTATTTTCCTTTCTTATTAATAGACGTAGGAAATTACAATTAATAGACTTAGTTTTCGTCATTTTTTATTACGTCATTTTCAGGTATAAAAAAATAAGTTATATTACATATGAGTTAGTTATATATATACATGTTGTATACGTCACCGGAAATGTATCCACATGAAAACAATTCTGAACTAAATTGCGAAATGTGTGTGGTGTTAACAATACTTTAATACTTACATTTCCTAGGATATTTTTAAATTTTTTCTTCTACTTTACATTAGGATTTACTTACATAAAGTAAGTTACAATTAGAATATTGTTGATTAACAAAAGTACATTTCTCTTCTTGTGATATATTTATTGTTATATTGATATATATATTTCGATATATTTATGTATATAAATTATTCAATTAGTAAATACCTACAAGGAAACGGGATATGGGTGTAATGACTCCAAAGTTTGAAAGACCTCAAACCAAACGTAATCTGAATTTAGTGTCTGGATAACCGGAATAAGTTATGATGAAATATCATCAATTTCCTCAAGAAAGGGCTCAAATCGGAGCTGGGATTAGATTAATGTAAATGATAATGAGTTCTTAGTTTGTTTTAATTGTCGAATTCAAGGTACGACAAAACTTTATGGACCAACTAAAACAACACGGTATGCCATTGAAATACAAAGGGCCTGTTGGCCTAGTTGGTTAGTTATCGTGAATGCTAAGTTAAAGGCCGTGAGTTCGATTTCCACCCTGGACAAATAATTGTATGATAAGCACGATCATCATATGTTCTGAGTCTGGGTGTAATTCATCTACAATGTAGGTATGTATTCAGAAATATGTATGATTACCACCAGTTTTGAGATCAGACCGCCGGTTATTATTATTATTGAATACTAATGAAATGATTTTACTAAAAAACGAAGTTCATCCGTATGGTAGTAGAATTAAAGCCGACCTAAACCTAGTTTTGGAAAAAAGATTCACAGGAAGAAGATACATATATTTGTAAAATGACACTAACCGGAACAAATAACTTATTTTAAAGTCAATAGATTAACAGTTGCCTTAATTGGCTGTTATGATAGACAATAATACTTAATTGTCACCAAATTATCCAATGACAATCTTAATACAATGGAATACGAATGAATGCATTGAATACAAAATAAGAGTTGACGTGAGGAAAACACAGCTACCATTGATCAAACTTACAATTATGTCAGGTAATAATATACTCATAATACATACAACAAAAAATAAAATAAAGAATAAGTCATAACTTTAGTAAGTAACAAATCAAGTTAAAAGTTTAAGTCACGAATTGAGGTCGAATTCAAATAATGGTTTTCTTTTCGACATTCAGCGCGAGCCAATCACAGCGCCAAACGCCAAACCCATCATGACGATCGAGTAGAAGTGCCCAACGCCCTCAGATAACTGGAGATGGGGAAACACTAAGGATGTCTTGTTAGGAATCCTAAACAACATCTGCATTTATTATATTTCATCTTTTTTGTATTTTGAATGTTTGTTTTTCAATATGAATACTGATTGTATGAATGGCATTAGTACAATTTGAATCAGTGCATTTTATCACGATACGGTTCATTTTACATAATATGTAAATAATAATAATAATAAAATATTGTAACATAATCACACAACGCTATCTAGTCCCAAAGTAAGCAGAGCTTGTACTATATATGTTTATAGATTTTTAAGTCTCCTTTAAGATCTAATAACATAATCCAAATAGTTTTTTTAAAGATCTACTAGCAACCGAAATTACTAGTATTCCCATTAACCCCTCCCACTAAGCTAAATTGCTGTGTTAGGAGTGGGTTCAAGTCGGTAGTTTACTAGTCAGGATTCGAACCCACGACCTCCATCGATCTTCACGACCCACGATCACAAGTACAATGCAATAACCACTAGGCTACCGCCGCTTCAATAGTTGATTGAATACTTATTTTGACTGTTTTTTTTTAAATTGAAAACGTCAAATCTTACTCGCAAAAATTTTATTTTATCGTCTAAATTAGAAATTCAGATATATTTAGAAAATACATGGCTGTTTTAAGATGTCATTTACTAATTGCATTTTTATTAGACCGATGCTTTTTCGCTTCCGTATACGTTTGCACTGTAAATGCCATTCAGACACAATTTGGAACTGCCTTTTATTTCGTTGTAACTAATATCCTACCAAATACCTTTAAATTTATGTATTTAGCACATATTTTTATGTTTTATTTAGCAACAGTTCATCCATTCTTGTCATTCATTCCTTTATACATAAATGACCGATTATACATAAGATTGTTTTAGACATTTCTTTGTATGGGTATTTTTCTTAAAAACAGAAAGGTAAGTGGCCTGTATTACAATATTTCTTCATGCAAAATCTTTAATAATTAAAATGTAGGCTCTGAGTTTAATGACTTATCTTCTAGAGTTTAGTAACATTTAGTCAGTACTGTACTTTGGTGGAGTAGCCATACTTGACAGGTAGGTACGCTAAAACTCAGTGATAATTCAGTGATATGTGAAACTGTGCTGAGTGTTATGGTTTCGATCACCAGAAGGGACAACAAATTATTGTTCTGGGTCTGGGTGTTCTTTGTGTCCGTTTCATGAATGTTTATCCCCAGCAACATAGAATAAGAACAGAACATAGGATAGAACGAAAAATACTTTAATTTAGTAAATTTAGCCTTTAGCCTGTAGGCTAAACTTCTTGAAAGTTTATCAATTTGGTTTTTCTCTTCTTTACAAAAGTAAAATACTTTGGTACCATTCAAATAAAGTGAGCATTTGAAATAATATAATTCTTGGCAATAAAATGTATAAATATACAATATTGATCGTCATATAAACGTAAGTAATATTGAATAATGAATGATTGAACGAAGTAAAAAATGTTTGATCTTTAAAATTGAACTTGAGCAAAACGACCTTGTATTTTTTGTAACACGTGTTCGTGCGATGAATTCGCTGCCAATTGAACTTGTGAACTCCTTAAACAATTCACTATAAGCACAACGAATTGATCAACGACGTAACAAGTTATCGAAAATACGATATACTAGCTTTCCTTTGTAATATCATGGCAATAAACAATTTAGTGTACGTCGAACCTTCCGCCGCAATCCAACGTTCTGTATTGGCAAAGACGTTAATTAAACCAAAAGAATATAGTGGACAAAAAAGTAACTGTATTCTATAGATGTTCACATATTTTCCTAGATTAATAGTCGTAAACAATAATATGAATATTTTGTCGAATTATTGTTATTAGACAATTGGAAAGTTATTTTAGATTTTTCTCCCTCGCAGTAAAGACGAATGTCCACTACCTCCTACCGTGACAAAGCCCGTGAGCCTTCTTTAGTTCCACTAATCCTTTCATATAAAGAAACCCGAGTTTGGCTTCTTCTGAAGTGTCTTTTCTTTAGTGTTAATTTTTCAGTTGACAACAAAATATAAAAAAAAAATTATTTGTTATTGTTGATACGGTGTTTTGAAACACAAGTAAATTGTTATTATTATAACATATTATTTAAAAATAAAATATATACCAAGTAAGTTAGAAGGTAATATATTTATTTCTATGTACAGTACGCCCACATAGAAAAAATATGTTTGTCTTAACTTTACAGATCCTGCATAAATATTTGTACATCTCGTATGAGAGGTTTAGTAAACATGTAGACTTATGAAGTGAAGTGGGTACACAACTACAAAAGCCAAATATACACGAAGAACGGAATGGATTATAAAAAATCTTTATTGTACATCAACAGGATATTTCTTTATACCAGGAATTTCTGATGAAAATACAAGGGACGGTTAAAAGCATCAAAATTTACGTAAAACATGCAGTTATTTGTATGATATAAAAATAGCAAGACACCTTCCAGGTAATAAGAAAGTGTAATAAGAAATATATACCGTAGCAATTAAGTTTACTAAATAAGTTAAATATATTTGGCGCGAAGTACTTCATCATAGCTTAAATCACTACTTATCATTTATCTCACGTTTTGTTGGCTGTTTAAATATCTTATCATCTGAATAAAACTGTTCTAGTAGTCTTATATAATATTTAAAGATAATATTTAGAGAACAGAATAACTATTTAAAGAATGTATATTTGAAATAAATTCAAACATCGATTTATTATTGAAACAATGATCTAATAGTTATGACTTGTGTGATCTCTAGGTAGATTCACTTGCAAAAGTATCATAACCGATTAATGAGCACTTAGGTTCACCTACGAAAAAAGCACTTCTAAGAATGCTGTATTAATATAAGATTTAATTTAAGAAACTTTCAGGCCCATTCCTAGATGATTTACGTAAGAAGCCCATTAAAGTTAAAGTAACCTGTAAAAATAGTAATAAATAGTTTATATTTCTACTTACCTCACCATCGGCAACTCTAAGTAAACTACTCTCTACTACACTGCTCTCAGTGGTAGTGGAGGTGGTAATTGTTTGATTAACAAGGGAAGCCGCAGCCGCAGCCAAAGCCGCTAAAGACCTGTCAGCCTGATCAAGACACACGTCGGAGCCAATACTTGATGATCCATCCTCTGATGAGTCCGTATTCCTCTTCACCATCTGAGTGATAGCTAGATTAAGGCAAACTCGCATTGTGTACGCATTGGCCACGGCCAATAGAGCCATAATAGCCAGAACATATCTTTGTGGTATTATAAATACTGAAAAGAAAATAATGGTACTTTAAACTTCAAAAATGTCATACATAAATTAAAAAACATGTCATTAATTTATTATATCTGGAATTATTTCTAGAAGTGCATTCGATCGTGTAGAATAAAAACAAAAATTATTTCTGAAATAATTCTACTGATTGTATGTGTTTATATTCTACTGAATTCAAAGAAAGAAAAGAGAAATAGAGCCAATAATTATTTATCCTGAAAGAAGTCTTAAGCCTTGTATAATTAATTTAAAATAAATTATTATTTAAGGAGAATTTAATCACTAAAATAAGATTTTTAACAGTTGTAGTTGATAAAACAATTTAACAATTTATAAATAATTTATATTTTCAAAAAAAATATATTTTACTCTACTAAGTATAATAAACGTCATATAAACAATGAATTATTTATTTTTAATTCTCACTAAATAAAATCAACTTTCAGTAAATCATCTTTTTTGTTAAATTAATTTATTCAAATGAATATTAAGATATTTGCAAAAGTATACATTTTCCTGATGATTTATATATTTTTCATTTATAAGTCATGTTTAATTCATTGATAAAACTAAATAAATATTTTTATATATTAGTACTTACATTTTGAAACCGCCAGTCGCCATCCCGTCAACATTTTGAATTACCTTTGAACAAATACAAAACTAGTTTAGCCACACCACAGGTTCAAACTGTTCACTGTACACTCATTCGTATATAGAACATTTGCGGACGCTAGGCGACACGACTATTTAATTGAAAGGCTAATCAGGAAAAAGTGTTGCGACGTCTGGGTACCGAGTTTTCATTAAAGTGACACTACCGGATTACGGAGTCAAGGACTCTAGTTTCCTTCTTCATGAATAAAGTGATACCGTATTGGTTCAAAGTATTTTTGCAATGATTAACAGATGACGTGTGCCAAAGTTGTACAGAATATTAATGTTTGGATATTCGTGAATAGCCCTTTAAGATGTTTGCAAAGGTCACGCGACATACCTTCAGCAAGGAAATTTATGTAGCATTGAACTCGTGCAACGGGTAATTGACTTTTACAGATAGTATTAAAAAAACAAATTGCGTAGATGATAACACCAATGAGTGGTTTCCGTGAAAGGTGTTTTTTTTTATTATTGATTTTTTATATAACAAATAATAAACTGCATCGTTTTGTTACGTAAATATGTAATTGATAATTGAACAACTAATTTATGGCAGAATTGCGAGTAGATAGTTAAATTTTTACACAGAAATTCAGCTGACTGCAAAAATAAACAATATTGTACTTTTATGTGTGTTACCTTAGAACTCAATTATTAATAAACCAATTTGGAATTCCGTGTTTATCCTGGGAAGGTGTACTTTGTTTAGTCAATTAAGAAAGAAAGACATATCAATCCTAACTAAGGCAGAAAATTAAGTAATGAGAAGAATAAGATTACCACAGTTCATCATGCAAATGCGCAATGAAATCAATAAAATTTTATTGAAATTTAATTAATGTAAATTGATAAGACAACTTGAAATTAGTGTATGGATATTACTAATATGGATTTATTTACATATATATAGATACAAATCAAATGCATAGAATAAAATAGATACAAACGTATTTAAGTCATTCTGAAATCAGAATAAATACATGCTGTAACACAAATTTATATAATCTAAAATAATTTTATCCATTTGTTTATTATATTGTTTAGGTTATGTAAATTCATAACATATTTATATTATTACAACCAAGTTCACAGTAGAAATGACGTGACCAATGAATATTTCTCAGTTCATTGTTCGATAGGTATTACCTAAAACAATAAATTTTACTGTCTTATGCTCTTTTAAGTACTATCAGAAGTTTGACAATGATTATATTACATTTAAACCAAAAAACTCTCATAGACTAGACATGTCCATGGAATGACGGAATCACGTTAAATTAAGTACTCGTATTTTTTTTATGTTAAGTTTTGAATAATATAGACAACAGAACTGTTATGAAAATATTAAATATTTTCCGACATATAACACATAACGCCGTTTAGTTTCAGACTAAGCAGAACTTGTAGCTGACTAGCGGAGAGAACTACTCGGAACGATAGCACTGCAAAAAGAAGGCAAATTTGACCTAAACCCTATACCAACCAGTCTGGCCAGGGCAATTCTTCCTCTCTAAGCAGAGGCATATGTACAGCAGTTGACTGCTAAAGGCTGTTAATGTGATGCGATACAACGAGTAGAAAAAGTCAAGTTTAAGCTATTTTATCACATCTGAAACTTTACGCTCATGTGAATGACAAATTAATATTGGTAAATAAAATCACATAAACTTATGAGTCCAAAATATTAAAAGTAGTCATCGTCATAAAATTACGAAGGTACTTAAACTCAAAATGATGATTGATGTGTCGTGTTCAACGGTGTTTATTGAAATCACAATCGCATAAAAATGAATGTACATACATAATATGAAATGGTTTTTGTGATAGTTCATTTTAAATGTCACGTTTGTCAGTTTTAACGTGGACAATATTTTAAACACTCGTCTTATTGAATGGGCTGTACATAACACAAAACAAAATTGAATATATTTGAGTTGGTTTAGTGCGTGCTTTGATATGTTAATCGTGTCGACCGCCTGGATTTGTTTGGCCTATCTCTCGACTTCATCATCATCTTCATCATGAATGGGTATTTCAACAGTAAGTGTACTGTAGGCGTCGCCCGTATGGTAACGGATTAAGAATACATAGTGTTACCACCCCTATTCATCTTGTGGGTGTCGTAATAGCCAACTAGGGGAGCAAACTGAAACTAAAACCTTGAAAAAATCCTGTAACAACCCGTCTGGCCAGCGTGGTATAGTAGGCCTAAACCTCCTTTTTAAGTAGTGATCTATGTCCAGCAGTGGACTACTAAAGGCTGTTGACTGATTGATTAGTTGTCCTAGGTTTACTAGTATTAAACTGTAATAACAGATCGTCAATAGGATTTTGAACAGTCTGCTATTTCTGAAGTATATCCATAACAGCCTTTATGGTGAAGATTTAGTTCTGCCTAATGGAAGAGTGACATGTTTTATATCTGTCATTCTATATCTATCGAATACTCGTACCATTAATTTGGCATTTTTAGTATCTCATAAATGTATACGCATTCGCTTCAACATAATTATAAAGACCTAGCGCTATGGTACAAATAATAGAATCACTGTATTATTTCTCAGACAGGTGTATAAACATATTTATGGCGGCAAACGTGAACAACATTCTAAGCAACACGTCCCCTTTGTATCCGTTTGAATATGTATTTTCCGAATACTTGCGATAAAACGTAACAAATCTTAAAAATATTAGCATAAATTATTAAATGCTCTTCGATTTTTTATTATTTTGTATATATTATAGTTCAACGCCATAAACATAAATAAAACTTTATAACTTTATCAAAAGTATATACTCGTACACGTATAAAAAAAGGTATTATAGTATCTAGACTGCCTCAGTAGTGCAGTGGTAGCGTAAGCGACTGTTGTGCTGAGGTCTCGGGTCCGATTCCCGGGTCGGACCAAAGGTTTGTATGATCTGTTAATATTTGTTTCGGAGTTTTGGGTGTTTTCTATGTATAATATGTATATACAAAAAAGTATATAAGTATTCTATCAGCCAATCTAGCTTTCATAGTACAAGCTCTGCTTAGTTTGAAACTAGATGGCGTTGTATATCAGATGTCCGAAAAAAAAATTAATATTGTATTGCTAGCGTATATTTTGACAATTTTAAAATTAGCCACATAATATTAAATTACTTTTATACTTTTTATAAACTTTAGTTTGTCAACAACACCATAAATGAAATCATTTGACGTATAAAATTTATCAACCAATGGTAGAAGATAGTTTTTTTTTCTATTAACAAATTATCTACTAAAACATGTTTCACGATGTTAAAAAAAAAGTCAAGTCAAACTAACTGATACAAAAGATAACTGAAATAAGATTTTTGGACACATAAAATTTTGCTTCACTTTTTGTGTCACCGATAAACATACAGGCTTACTTAGAACATTTCTTGCTTTTGTTATTTAAATTAGAATATGTAAAATATGTTAAATTAAAAAAAATTGTGAAAAGATGACGTTTTCCTTCAGAAACTAAGTTTTTAGATTCACGGGGAAAATTGATTGTTTTTTAATGTAAAAATGATAATTTCAACATCAATTCCTATAATATTATAGATCTGAAAGTTTTAAATATTATCAGGTATTTATTTTTTATAGTTTTAGATCAATAAAATTACTTCTTAATAACAAAATTGTATGGATAATTTTATTTCCAAAAATATTTAAAACTTCATTTGTTTTAACTGAAAGAAAAATTAAATGAACTGGTATTATTTTTCTAGCGTCATTGCGTGTTGTTTGTTTAAATTTTATTTTTTAACCCTATTCTACAAGATATTCAGAAAAAATGAATCTGTAGAATTTGACATCAAATGCTAAATTCTCTCATCTATTCATCGTTTAAATAATGGTCGATGATAAATATCAAACAAATATTAAAAAAATGAATTGAATTGAATTGGATTTGTGAGTATTACTTTTGTGTATACTTAATATCAAGACATTTATTCACATAGATCTTGTGTAACCTGCCTTTTATACAAGATCTTTTCTTAAACACCCACCATGTTTAATAAAATATTTATATCTTCTAGATACATATTATAATAAAATTTTAATCACACTATTCTACAGCACTTGTATATAACACGATATACTCGTAACACCACATACTTAAGTAGAAAACAATTCTAGTTCTTGTTGGCTTCTTAGAAGTTATTGAGTTACAACACTTTATTTAACACACACACCTGAAACACTATGTCTCTTTTTATAACTCAGGAACAATACGATGCTTTCGTTGTAGTAGCACAAAAAAGATGTAGAGCACCTTACGCCCTACATTCTTTTCTTATCCCTCACCAGGTGTATGTCATTTATTTTTATTTTTAAAACCATCATTGAGTAGATAAGTGAAAAATTAATAAATATATAAAGAATCGTTTGTATTATTAGATTAGCACAATTGATAGAGTTTACTTTCAAAATTACCTTCCTCCACTTAATAATGAACAATTTTTTTTTCCCAAATTTGGCTTTGAGTCTAGTATGCTACGGTTGAACTGTGATTTTTTACGCTCAGCGACTGCCATCAGACCTTCTCAACCCAAGTAATAGGTGGTACCGAAGATCTGAAGAAAGACTGTTTTCGGACTTTTTATGACAACCGGAACCGACGGCTTAACGTGCTCCTCGGGGCACGGAGGGTCTCGATTAGTTAAGAATCCACAGACTGACGTGGCTAGTTTTGACTTTGGGACCTAAAGATGGGAAAATTGGCAGTAGACATAAAAATATGATATAAATTGAAAAGGTAGATAATATGAGAATTCAATGGAAGTAAATTGATGTTGCTTAAGGAATGAAAAAGAGAGTGTAAGTAATGATCTGGATCGGGTTCTTATTTGTAACTTGAACTGGCTTTAGTTGAAATGTTTGAGCCCTCTCATCATCATCATCATCAACAGCCTTTACTAGTCCATTACTGGACCTAAGGCCACTCCTAAGAGTTTGGCC